TCACATACTAATGATAATTATAAAAATTAAAATACTAACAGTTGTAATACTATTAATAGCAGGCAATAATATGAATACCAGGTAATAATAATAATAATAATAATAATAATAATAATAATAATAATAATAATAATAATTATAATAATAATAATAAAAATGACAATAATAATAATACAGATAGTAATAATAATAATAATAATAATAATAATATAATAATAATAATAATAATAATTATAATAATAAAATAATAATAATAATAAAATAATAATAATAATAATAACAATAATAATAATAATAATTATAATAATAATAATAATAATAATGATAATAATAAAAATGATAATAATAATAATAATAATAGTAGTAATAATAATAATAATAATAATATAATAATAATAATAATAATAATAATAATAATAATAATAACAATAAAATTTAATAATAATAATAATAATAATAATAATAATAATAATAAATAATAATAATAATAATAGTAATAATAATAAAAATGACAATAATAATAATAATACAGATAGTAATAATAATAATAATAATAATAATGATAATAATAATAATAATAATAATAATAATAATATAATAAAATTTTAATAATAATAATAGTAATACTACTACTAATAATATTAATAATAATAATAATAATAATAATAATAATAAAATGACAATAATAATAATAATACAGATAGTAATAATAATAATAATAATAATAATGAAAATAATAATAATAATAATAATTATAATAATAAAATAATAATAATAATAATAATAATAATAATAATAATAATAATAATAATAATAATAATAATAATATTAATAATAATAATAATAATAATAATAATAATAATAATAATAATAATAATAATAGGACATACCGCCGTTGTTATACCTCACGCTTGATGTACATCGTTCAAAAAAGGAGATTATGAGGCAGGCACATACTGCCTCCTCAGCCAAATTAATGGGTCATACAGCAGCCAACAACAAAAGACGAGGACACGGCGCCGGTGAGGTATACTTTGTACCCAGCACTAGGACACCGTAAAATTTGGAAAACATAATAGGAATAATACTAAAAAAATAGGATAGCAGAACAGTAATGATAAAAGACAACAGTAATAGTAATAATTGTATAAAAAATACAATAATAGTAAAAATCTTACAACATTAACAAACTCAACCACATTAGAGAACCAGTATCCCCCAGGGCCGCCACCCTCACCCTGCTACCTCCCCAGAGAGGGCCACCACCCTCACCCACAACCGCCCAAGAGGACATCCACCTCACCCCTACACCCCCAGAGAGGGCCACCACCCTCACCCACAACCGCCCAGAGAGGACATCCACCCACCCTGCACCTCCCCAGAGAGGGCCACCACCCTCACCCCAACCGCCCAGAGGACATCCACCCTCACCCTGCACCTCCCTGAGAGGGCCACCACCCTCACCCACAACCGCCCAGAGAGGGCCACCACCCTCACCCACAACCGCCCAGAGAGGGGCCGCCACCCTCACCCACACACTCCCCAGAGAGGGCCGCCACCTCACCCTGCACCTCCCTAGAGAGCCGCCACCCTCCCCACCTGCACCTCCCCAGAGAGGGCCGCCACCCTGCCTCCCCAGAGGCCGCCACCCACCCCTGCACCTCCCCAGAGAGGCCCACCACCCTCACCCAACCGCCAAAGGGACATCCATCCTCACCCTACACCTCCCCACAGAGGCCACCACCTCACACAACCGCCCAGAAGGGACATCCACCCTCACCCTGCACCTCCCCAGAGGGCCACCACCCTCACCCACAACCGCCCAGAGGGCCATCCACCTCACCCTGCACCTCCCCAGAGGGCCGCCACCCTCCCCACACACCGCCCAGAGGCCGCCCCACCCTCACCCTACAACTCCCCAGAGAGGGCCGCCACCCCTCACCCTGCACCTCCTCAGAGAGGACTCCCTCACCTGCTCCCCAGAGAGGGGCCACCCTCACCCTGCCTCCCCCAGAGAGGGGCCGCCACCCCACCCTGCACCTCCCCCAGAGAGGGCCACCACCCTCACCCACAACCGCCCAAAGAGGACATCCACCCTCACCCTACACTCCCCAGAGGGCCACCACCCTCACCCACAACCGCCAGAGGACATCACCCTCACCCTGCCTCCCCCAGAGGGGCCACCACCTCACCCACAACCGCCAGAGGCCATCCCACCCTCACCCTGCACCTCCCAGGGGCACCACCCTCACCCACAACCCCAGAGAGCCACCACCCTCACCCACAACCGCCCAGAGGGCCGCCACCCTCACCCCAGCCCCAAAGGGCCGCCACCCTCACCCACAACCGCCCAGAGAGGGCCGCCACCCTCACCCACAACCGCCCAGAGGGCCGCCACCTCACCTACTCCCCAGAGAGGGCCGCCACCCTCACCTACACCTCCCAGAGGGCCGCCACCCCTCACCCTGCCTCCCCCAGAGGGCCGCCACCCTCACCCTGCCTCCCCCAGAGGCGCCACCTCACCCTGCACCTCCCCAGAGAGGGGCCACCACCTCACCCATCCAACCAGAATGGGCCCGCCACCCTCACCCACAACCCCCAGAGAGGGCCGCCTCTCACACACTCAGAGACGCCACCCTCACCACAACCGCCCAGAGAGGGCCGCCACCCTCACCCACAGCCTCCCAGAAAGGGCCGCCACCCTCACCCACAACCGCCCAGAGAGGGCCGCCACCCTCACCACAGCCCCCAGAGAGGGCCGCCACCCTCACCCACAGCCGCCCAGAAAGGCCCGCCACCCTCACCACAACCCCAGAGAGGGCCGCACCCTCACCCACAACCGCCCAGAAAGGGCCGCCACCCTCACCCACAACCGCCCAGGGGCCGCCACCCTCATCCACAACCGCCCAGAGAGGGCCGCCACCTCACCCACAACCGCCCAGAGAGGGCCGCCACCCTCACCCACAACCGCCCAGAGAGCCGCCACCCTCATCCACAACCGCCAGAGAGGACCGCCACCCTCATTCACAACCGCCAGGGCCGCCACCCTCACACAACCGCCCAGAGAGCCACCCTCATCCACAACCGCCCAGAGGGACCGCCACCCTCACCCCCACACCGCCCAGAGGGGCGCCACCACCCACAACCGCCAGAGAGAGGGCCGCCACCTCATGCACAGCCCAGAGGGCCGCCACTCACCACAACAGCGCAGAGGGCCGCCACCCTCACACCCCGCCCACTCTGCCCAGAGGGGGCCACCACCTCACCCACAGCCGCCCGGGGCCGCCACCCTCACCACAACCGCCCCCAGGGGGCCGCCCTCATCCACAACCGCCCAGAGAGCCGCCACCCTCACCCACAGCCGCCCACCTCACCCCAACCGCCCAGAAGGGCCGCCACCTCATCCACAACCGCCCAGAGGGACGCCCTCATCCAGCCCAGAAGGCCGCCACCCCCACCCACAACCGCCCAGAGAGGCCGCCACCTCCACAACCGCCCAGAGGAGGACCGCCACCCTCCCCCCACAACCGCCCAGAGAGGCGCACTCCACCACAACCGCCCAGAAGGCCCACCCTCATTCACAACCGCAAGAGGGCTCACCCACAACAGCGAGAGGGCCGCCACCCTCATCTCCCCAGAGAGGGCCGCTCACCCACAACCGCCCAGAGGGGCCGCCACCCTCACCCTGCCTCCCAGAGAGGGCCGCCACCCTCCACCCTGCACCTCCCCCAGAGAGGGCCGCCACACTCGCCTGCACCTCCCCCAGGGGCCACCACCCTCACCCCAACCGCCCAGAGAGGGCCGCCACCCTCACCCCTACACTCCCCAGAGGCCGCCCTCACCTCCCCCAGGCCACACCCGCCTCCCAGAGGGGCCACCACCTCACCCACAACCACCAGAGAGGGCCGCCACCACACCCACCTCCCAGAGAGGGCCCCCCTCACCCTGCACCTCCCCCGAGGGGCCGCCACCCTCACCTCACCCAGACACACCTCCCAGAGGGCCACCACCCTCACCCTGCACCTCCCCAGAGAGGGCCGCCACCCTCACCTGCCTCCCCAGAGAGGCCGCCACCCTCACCCACCTCCCCCAGAGAGGGCCACCCTGCCTCCCAGACGCACCTCCCCAGGGCCACCACCCTCACCCTGCACCTCCCAGATAGAGACTGCCACCCTGAACCAGAAAGGGCCGCCACCCTCCAGAACCGCCCAGAGGGCCGCCACCCTCACCCAGAACCGCCAGAGGGGCCACCACCTCACCCTGCCTCCCAGAGGCCGCCACCCTCACCCTGCACCTCCCCCAGGGGCCGCCACCCCTCACCCACAACCAGGGAGGGCCGCCACCCTCTGAGAACCGCCCAGAGAGGGCCGCCCCCTCACCCTGCACCTCCCCCAGGGGGCCACCCCACCCTGCACCTCCCCAGGGGCCGCCACCCTCACCCTGCACCTCCCCCAGAGAGGCCGCCACCCTCACCCACAGCCAGAAGACCGCCACCCTCACCCAGAACCGCCCAGAGGGGCGCCTCACAGCCGCCCAGAGAGGGCCGCCACCCTCACCAACCGCCCAGAGGGCCGCCACCCTCACCCAGCAATCGCCAGAGGGGGCGCCACCTCACAACCCCCAAAGAATGACCTCACCCTGCACCTCCCAGAGAGGGCCGCCACTCACCCACAACCAGAGAGGGCCGCCTCCCTACCCTGCACCTCCCCCAGAGAGGGGCCGCCACCCTCACCCTGCACTTCCCCAGAGGGCCGCCACCCTCGCCCTGCACCTCCCCCAGCCTCCCTCACCTGCACCTCCCCAGAGGGCCGCCACCCTCACCCCTGCCCCCAGAGACCGCCACCCTGCCCTGCACCTCCCCAGGGGCCGCCACCTCACCCTGCACTTCCCAGGGCCGCCACCTCGCCCACCTCCCAGGGCCGCCACTCACCCTGCACCTCCCCAGAGAGCGCCGCCACCCTCACCAAGGGAATCATCTCAATTTCCCAGCACCTCCACAGAGGGACAGGAACTTCCCCACCCTCCGAGAGCTGCTGGCCTCCCCCTACAGACAGGGCCTCCACCCTCCCACCAGGAGGGGCCTCCAGCCCCCACTGGAGGGCCAGCCCCCCACAGGGGCCTCACCCTCCCGGCCTCCTACTGCAGAGGCCGCCAGCCCCCCTACAGAGGCCTCACCCTCCACCAGAGGGCTCCAGCTACTGAGAGGGCGCCAGCCCCACAGACAGGGCCCTCAGCCTCCCACCAGAGGGCCTCCAGCCCCTACAGAGACCGCCAGCCCCCCCACAGAGAGGGCCGCCATCCTCCCACCAGAGACCTCCAGCCTCCCACAGAGGGCCTCCAGCCTCCAGAGAGGGCCTCCAGCCCTGAAGGCCTCAGCCTCCCACCAGAGGGCCTCCAGCCTCCCACCAGAGGGCCTCCAGCCTCCCAGAGACCTCAGCCAGAGAGAGCCCCCTACAGACAGGGCCTCCAGCCTCCCACCAGAGAGGCCTCCAGCTACAGAGAGGGCCTCCAGCCTCCCACCAGAGAGGCCTCCAGCCCCTACAGAGAGGGCCGCCAGCCTCACCAGGGGCCTCAGCCTCACAGAGGGCCTGCCCAGAGAGGGCCTCCAGCCTCACCAGGGCCTCAGCCCCCCAGAGAGGCAGCCAGCCCCCTCTACAGAAACTCAGCCTCCCACCAGGCCCGCCGAAGGCCTCCAGCCCCCTAGAGGGCCGCCAGCCCCTACAGACAGGGCCTCCAGCCCCCCCAGAGAGGGCCGCCAGCCTCCACTAGGGGCCTCGCCTCTACAGAGGGCCAGCCCCCTGAGGGCCTCCAGCCTCCCACCAGAGGGCCTCCAGCCCCCCTACAGGGCCACTAGCCCCACAGAGGGCCTCCAGCCTCACCAGGGCCTCCAGCCCCCTGAGAGAGGGCCGTAAGCCTCCTCCCAGACAGGGCTGCCAGCCCCCCGCCAGCCCACAGGAGGGCCTCCAGCCCCCTACAGAGAACTCCAGCCCCTACAGAGAGGGCCGCCAGCCTCCTCCCAGACAGAGGCCGCCAGACTTCCCCAGACAGGGCCGCCAGCCTCCCCTAAAGGGCCCCAGCCTCCCCCAGAGAGGGCCATCAGCCTCCTCCAGGAGAGAGCCACCAGCCTCCCCCAGAGAGGCATCAGCCTCCCCCAGGAGAGAGCCACCAGCATCCCCCCAGAGAGGGCCACCAGCCTCCCCTCCCGAGAGGGCCGCCACCGTCCCCCAGCACCACATGATCCGCCACATTTACCCTGGGGTGTGGGAGAAGGCAGCAGGCGTCGGAGGTAAAGTCAGCCACCGATATCTGAACCATCTCGCGGTGGTAACATTATTCTTCATCTTCTTGGGATTCTGGGATTTTAAGGATCAATAGAGGTGAAACCAAGGGTCGGAGGCAAGACAAAGACAACACGAAGGTCCTTAAGGTAGAAAGTTACAAGTCTTAAGTATAGGATGAAAAGCCTTGAGGAGCTTTAGGTCCATGGTGAATTTTACTCGGGCATCTTGAAATTGCCTCGAGAATGCTATAGATGTGGTGAGGATCGGCGGAAATGACCCTTCAAGACAAGAGCTGGAAGGTCGGGTGTTGCAGGGCATGGATCACGACTTTCAACTCTACTCAAAATACCCGACATGGCGAATAAATAATGGAGAAGAAGGTATCCTCTGTTTATGTGTATATATATATTGTTTTTTGGTTTTTGTTTTTTTAGAGGTCAGAAGTTGCATTGTATTTTGTATCGGACATTCGTAGTGTCATCTTACTATTGGCGAACAAAGTGGTATGGTCGAGAGGTTCATGGTGGGAGTAGAGTTTTATAAAGTGAGGGTCAGAGAGATAGTCGTATACATGTTAACAGTTACGGTGGCGATAAATTTGTTAAAAACTTTTGACAGTTTATGCTTTAAAATGTTAGGTTAGGTTAGGTAAGGGAAGGTTAGATTAGGTTAGGTTAGGGAAGGTTAGGTTAGGTTAGGGAAGGGAAGGTTAGGAGTTAGGTTAGGGAAGGTTAGGTTAGGTTAGGGAAGGTTAGGTTAGGGAAGGTTAGGTTAGGTTAGGTAAGGGAAGGTTAGATTAGGTTAGGTTAGGGAAGGTTAGGTTAGGTTAGGTAAGGGAAGGTTAGGTTAGGTTAGGTGAGGTTAGATTAGGTTAGGTTAGGGAAGGTTAGGTTAGGTTAGGCCAGGACAAATATATACTTGTAAATATTATCTGGAACTATAACAAAATAAAATAAAATAAAAAGTTACGATATATGTATTCGGTAAAGCACAACTGGACAAACAGTCACCAAACGAAACTAAATAAAATCCACAAGAAGAGTCGTGGAGTTAGGACGGATATGTTCTCACTTGTATGTCAGAATCTTATGACTCTTATACCTGTTGGAAGATACAGGACGCGTAAAATCTTTAAGAGGTTTGGCAAGGAGTCTAGGAGGAGAGGCGAGGAGAGGAGATGATGATGATGATGAGAATATGATACAGGTAGACAGAAATTTAGATACGGACAAACAGATAGGGAAATGGAAAGGCAGACATGCAGACACACAGACAAGTAGAAACACACACACACACACAGACACACACACACACACATACACACACACGTGAAGCCCCTCATAACACCATCTGAGGAATTACTACCACGTAGGGGCCCCTCATATCACCATCTGTGAGAATTACTACACCATGTGATGCCCTCATAACACCACCTGTGAAGGAAATACTACACCACGTGAGAGCCCTCATCACACCACCTGTGAGAATTACTACACCATGTGATGCCCTCCTACACCATCTGTGAGAATTACTACACCATGTGATGCCCTCATCACCACTTGTAAGGGAATTACTACACCACGTCAGGCCCCTCATAACACCATCTGCAGGGAACTACTACACCACGATGCCCTCATAACACCATCTGTGAAGAAATACTACACCAGTGAGCCCCTCATCACACCACCTGTGATTACTACACCATGTGATGCCCTCATAACACCACCTGAGAGAATTACACCATGTGATGCCCCCATAACACCATCTGTGAGGAATTACTACACCAGGTGATCCCCTCATAACACCACTTATGAGAATTACTACACCACGTCAGGCCCCTCATAACACCATCTGTGAGAGAACTAGTACACCACGTGATGCCCTCATAACACCATCTGTGAAGGAGTTACTGCGCTACGTGTTTGCTGTTCAACACCATTAATCTGTATGTTCACTGTTTGTTCCTTTACCATTCTCAAATGAAAGCCTTTGTTAAAACCACCGATGTATGTAATAAGTCATTTATGACCAATGTATATTTTCAGTCTTCGGGCTGCAGAACTTTTTCAATAAACCGTTAATCATTATTATTATTATTATTATTATTATTATTATTATTATTATTATTACACACACACACACACACACACAAGTAGGCAGGGAATCAGACAATTAGAAAGACACACAGATAAATGAATATAAAATCAGATATACAGACGGACAGACCCAAAAAGACGGAGGGAAACGAAAACACAAATGAGGAAGGAATGAGAAAGGTAAAGAGGCAATAAATAGTAAGAAGCAGGAGGAGGGATTGATAATGAAGAATACTACATAAGGTGAGTAAGGGGGGAGAGTGTGAGAAGGGAGAAAGAGAGGGAGAGAAGGAAATAGTGTCAGAAGAGAGAAAGGGGGAGGAAATGAAGAAAAGAAAGTGAGAATGGTAAAAGGGGAAGAGAAAGAGAGAGATGCAAATGTGAGATAATGAAGAGGAAGAGAGAAGGGAAGAAGGACAAACGGGATAAAACACAGGAATATAAAACGAATGGGGAATAAGGGAAGTGTTAAAAAATATATTTCGGAGAGTAGATAAAGCAGATAAAGACAGAGAAAGAAGGAAGAGAGAGAGAATAATAATAATAAAACAGAAAAAAAAACACATTAAATTAAGAGAAAAGAACGAAGGAAATTAAATAGATTTAGAAAGAGAATAAAAACCAAGATTAGACACAACAGAAAAAGAAATAGACAAAGCAAAGTAAACATGATAAACTGGAGAGAGAGAAACAAATAAACATTAATACAAAAGAAAAAAAGGAGAAAAAAGATCAAATATGGTAAAATAAATGAGAAGAAAGACAAAAAAAGAAAAAAATGGGAAAAATGTAGAATGATGAGATAAGACAAACAAAAGCAAAACAAAAAATAACAAAACCGAGAAATAGAGAAAAAAATAAAAATAAAATAAATGAACCAGGAGGTAAAAAATTAATAAAAAAATACTAAACCTTAATAAAATATAATAAAAAAAACATGAAAGGAGGAAGAATAAACATAATAAGAGAGAGAAGGAGGAAGAGATGACGAGGACAAACAGAATAAAATAGTAAAACATAAAACGCACAGGGAATTAGGGAGGAACTGAAGAACATATCTCGGACGGCAAATGAGGAAGAAAGAGGGGGAGGGAGAGGAGGAAGAAAGGGGAGAGGAGAGGAATAGAAAGAGGCTATTAGGGAACTGATGGAACGGTAACGGATAAAGAAGGAAGAACATAAAGGAAGGGGAATGAGAAATAGATGGAAAGGGGAGAAACTTGTTAGGAGAGAGAGTGAACGAGCGAGAGAGAAGATAAAAAAGGAGAGAGGGGTAAAGAAGACGAAGAAAGAGAAAGAAGAATCATAAGAAGACGATAAAATTGATAAAAATAAATAATAAACGATGCAGTGAAAATAAAAGTTACTACGAAAAATAAGTTTATACCAAAAGTTATTAAATTGAAGGACGAACTACAGAACAATGTCAACATAATCGCCTTAGTTGAGAGTCAAAGAAACACTAATAATAGCATCCAGTGGGCGAGGATTGATGGCCTTAACCCTGGCTTATTACATGAACAAAGAAAATAAGGAGTCTGCAATAGGCCGGTTGGCCTGTGCATGGCAGCTCCTGTCAAAGTCCACTCTCTATCATCCATGAATCTATCTAGCCTCCTTTTGAAACTTTCCAGAGTTCCCGCACTTACTACAAGAAGTTGCTATTGTTCACTCATCCACTCATCCACCACTATTTGTGAACCAGTTTCTTCCTATCTCCCTCCTAAACCTAAACTTATCAACAATCCGTTGCTCCAGGTCCTATCCTGCTCGGATATTGTAAGAACTTTATCTATATCCCTTTATTGATTCCTTTCACCCATAAATACTTTATCATATCTCCCGCACTCTTCGTCTTTCTAGGGAATGCAAGTTAAGTTTCTTTAACCTATCCTGATCTGGAAGGTTTCTAAGTCCCGGAATCATTTTGTCATTCTTCGCTGCACCGACTCTAGTGAATAAATATCCATTCTATAATAGGGGCACCAGAACTGAACCGCATAATCGAGGTGCGGCCTGACTAGCCAAAATATAGTTGCAATAAGACCTCTGCACTCTTGTTACTTACACTTCTAGATATAAAACCAATACTCTGTTTGCCTTATTTCGAACATTAACACTTTTTTCTAGGCCGTAGGTCCGGGCCTAAGTACCCTAGGTCTCTTTCACAAGTCGACTTCTCTAGGTTGGTTGTTAAGGCCGTATACATTATAAGTATTTGTTCTTCAATAATAAGTACGCTGCACTTGCTGGTGTTGAATTTCATTTGCCATTTTCAGACCACCTGCAGTTTATTTAGATCCTCCTGTAATGCATTTGCATCCTGCCCTGAATTAATTTGCCGCCTATTTTGGTGTCATCGCAAACTTGCTTATGTCACTGCTGATCCCAGTATCTAGATCGTTTATGGAGATTATGAAGAAGAGTGGGCCTAGATACTCCCCAGCCACTGTGTGTGTGTGTGTGTGTGTGTGTGTGTGTGTGACCAGCACTTATAGGATGAACTGTTTTGTAACGAGTAATAAATACTGTACG